GTAGATACGATAGATTAAGAAGATGGACAGATGGATTTTAATTTACTAGAGTCTGTAGTCATATGATCGGATGCACCTGTATCAATAATCCAAGTATCATTCTTAGAAGTTGCAGAGAATATATTTGCCTTATCAACAATACCTGAGTGAGCAATGTTTGCCATAGGCTATGGTTTATCTTCAACATTGGGCTGAACTTCATTAGAAGATGTCATCATAGCTTGTCTTGCAATCTTCTTTCTTGTTTTTTTTTTTGAAAAATCCCACCATTCAGGATAGCCAATGAGTTCAAAACATCGTTGTTTTGAATGTCTTTTTTCACCACAATGACTACATACAAGATTGTTAGACTTTCCATATGATTGAGTATTGCGATTCTTTACCAATCCAGATGATGATCTTTGTCAGATTTGATTGGACAACATAGCAGAATGTTTAGAGATTGGTCGAGATCCCCCCATAGTCTGTCTTTGTTGAAACTCCCTTCGCACATATACATACGTGCTCTCCAAGTCCAGTTTTGGATCTTTTCGTAAGATTTCTCCACGAACTTGATCAAGTTCAGAATCAAGTCCACTTAGAAAAATATGTACTCGAAGCCTGGCCATTGCTCAATGTAACTGGACCACTCCTTCAATTGTGTCTTCTTGAGAGGTAGTCCTGTGGTCAATTTCTTGAAATATAGCAACAAGTTCATTGTAATATGTTGACAATGGTCTACCATTTTATTGGGTAGAAAAGGATTTTTGATTCAATTCAAATAGACGAGTTTCGTCTGATCCATCATAGAAGGTTTTTGACACAGCTTTCCATATTTCTTTGGCTGTGGGGAGACGAATAAATCGTTGTATCAATAATGGACTCATTGAGTCAATAAGCCAACTCTTCACTCTTTGATTTTCAGTAACCCACATTGCAAAAATAGGGTCTTCAGGTGCAAGTTTTTTTGTTTCACCTGTGAGTTACCCAGCCTTGTTGCGAGCGCTAATGCACATCTCCATAAGTTGAGACCATAATGGATAATTAATTTCATCCAATATGATACTGGTAGGAAATGCAGAATTATCTTGGTAGATAACAATTGGTTGTATTGGGTTATTTGGTGTAGTTGGGATAACAGAATTGGTATTGGCTATTTAGCCTCCGAGTATGAGTTTTAAGCTAATGAAATTCAATTCGTGTTTAGTACCGTTATGATACCATGATAAACAATGCTCTCTGCAAGTTTAAATTTCTGTTTTTTTATTCTTCTCCAGTTTAGAGGTAATATATAGGTTACATTAAGTTACAACGTAGTAAAGAATCTTATATTAAAGAGAGCTATTACAAGGAAAGGAAACTATATATTCCTGCAAAGACTTCTATCCTGGGCAGACTCCTATACTCACAAAATCAGTTCCTACAATTATTCCTAAGATTACACTGACAACTCACGTTAACAGCACATGCCAACAATCTTCCACATGGCCTTAGCAAGAAGGGTACAACATGTCTGCAATGCAATGATGTCCATCTGGGGCATATTGATAGGTTCACACACCGTTGACATATAAATTAAATATTTCGAACTATACGTATTCTTGTAGATAATGTTTCGTAAAAGGTTGATGTCGATATTTAAAGAATATTATCTATGGAGTATGGTTGATTTACGATCCTTTAAGTTCGTTTATCATGGAAATTATTAAAAAAAAAGTTATTAATTTTTTAGTTTAAAAATTTTCTTAAAAATCCTATTTTATTTTAAAATAATATTAATTTTTTTCTACACACTAAGCTGCAGGTTAAATAAAAAATATAAAATCGATTAGAAAAATATACAAAATAAAAAATAAAAAATTATTTATAATTTTTTAATAAAAAATTATGCATTTAACTATTTCTTATTTGTGTTTTTCATAATTTTTTTTAAAAAGATTTATCCTTATTAATCCATGGATTATTAATTAAAAAAAAATTAAATAAATTTTTTAAAAAAACTTTAGTAATTCATAAGATTTTATCAAAAAATATAAATAAAAATTATTAAAAACTTATATAGAAGTGAATAAATAATTTTTTATTTAATGTTATGAGAATATCAATTTTTGAAAAAATATGAATTTAATTTTTATATATTTATTTACAAAAGAATGAATAATATTAAATTAAAAAACAATATTAATTTGATTTATTGAGTGGTTAAGTCAAAATATTATTTTAATTATTTAATTTCAAAATAAATAAATAAATAGTAAATTCTTAGTGTAGAAAAATATTATTATTATAATATAATCATAATATTAATAACATACGACTACATTAAAAAAAAGATCAATTAAAGCAAGTACATTTTAAATAATAAAAATAATTAAAAAATATTAAAATAAAACTAGACTAAATTATAATACAATTACAGTTTAAAATTGAAAAAAAAAATTAAGGATCAAAGTGTTAAAAATTTGACATAAATAATAAAAAGAATAATAATTTATGAGTGACAATAGTGCTTCAAATAATAAAACCATGTTTTAGTAATTATTTTTTTATCTGTCATCATATCTACCGTTGGATTAAATCCGGCAGTCTATAATGATGGAGAGTCTAATGCTAACGTAAGACATTAACAGAGATCTTATGTATAAGATGATCTTACCCATTAAACAACATTGCAAAATATGATCTCAACCGTCCATGTAATTTGATCTGTTTATAATTAATTAAAAAAAGTTAAAGAAGAAAGAAAAAACCTAGCAATAGAAGAATAGAAAAGAGAAACAATCGCCCCATATTCTTGATCTGATCCAATGGTTCTCTGAATTTGAAAAAGAAATAGATTTTACTTTACTTGGGAAGTGTTGTATATATGAACCGGAAAACCCAAATTTGTTTGGATTCATAGATACTTTTTATAATTGTGATAGGGTGAGGGCTTGTAAATCAGAGTTAGTTGAGGCTGTGAGTGTTGGATCGAGTATATATAATTTTTGGGGTATGAACAATAAAACATGGTTGATTGATGAATGAGGGTTGTGGTGCGTCAATCTGTACTTTGTATTGTTTAGGGAACCATAATTTATTTTCTTACTAGTTTGAATTGTAAAAAAGCGCAAGAAAATCCAGGGTTTTGTACGTGGATCAGTTTTTACTCATTTACAATGGGCTAACTCGCTTGAGGTTGAAGATGATGGTATAGTTGTGATTTGGTCCTTGTAATATTGAAATGTTTCATTTTAGTCTATTTGTTATTAAATTCTATTTTTTTTGGAGAAATTTTGTTTAAAAAAATTGAGAATAGTTTAGTCAAAATATAAGGAAATATGAATGCCCATAGTTTAACAGATTATTCTCAAACAAAGGCATATCATTTTACGTAATTTTACAGTTATATTTTACTAATTATCTTTTACAAGGGCACTATTGTGATTTAGTATGATATAGAAGAGAATAGGCTTTTTTCAATAAAAATAAAAATAGAAGCCCATGTTAAAAGACGGTTGAGTTGCTGTTGAAGGATAAAGTGCACCCGGTTTGCTGTGAATAATTAAACTATAAGTGTTGTCATTCACTGTCCATTGACAACATGTTGTCAACGCCAAAATAATATGATAACCTTTCACATAACATTTTTATAATACATCGGAGAGTAACTAGTGATATGTATAATAGTTACTCAATGGATCCACTTTGATAAAAGATATAGACTAAAAAAAAAAAATTTACATCCATATACATCAAAAGTGATAAAAAGATTTCATGTTCATTCAAATTTTTTTATTTTCTCTCTCTTATTTATTTATTTTTTTATCTATCTTTCTTTTTAAAATAGACTAATAAAGTAACTATTATACATACTTCTAATTACTCTTGATATATTATAAAATTTCTCTTCTTTCACATATCTAGTAGTTTTTGACAGTGTGTCAAAATGGCAAAGAAAATGTCGATATTGGGTTCTCACCTTTAACTAAAAAGCATGATGGATACTTAAAAAAAAAATTGGCTAAAATTTTTGTCCATGTAAAAACAAATTTTCATCACGATCTAACCTAGATATCAACAACACATTTGACTGATTTCAACTTATATTGACTTTACTTCCGAAACGCAAGCTTGTTTAATTTAACATGGCGAAAATGTCAGTGTAATTGGGTTAGATTTAAGTTAACTATTGTCAGTGAATATATTTGGGGAAAAAAAAGTAGTGATTTTGTCAAGCCGATAACCCACCGTCAAATGGAGAGCCGGCAACTAATTAAGACAATAAAAAATTCTTGTTTATATTTATCAAGTACAGAAAGCCAAAAAAAAAAAAAAAACTTATTTTTCTTTTATGGAAAAGAGATTAATTTATGTTACATCTCCTTGAGATTCCTTTTTTTTGACATGGGCGTCTTATATAAGCGCCACTAACTTCAAGTGGTAATTTCTTTACATGAAATTTAAAGATTTTTTTAATTGTTAATTCAAGTTTTCTCGATCCCATTACTTAAATTAATACGAAAGTTAGGTTTGATTACTGACCAATAATTAAAATATTAATATACATGGCATGCAAAAAGAAATTTGAAAAAAAAAAACAAAAGAAAGTTGTTGAAGCTAACATGATATACGTACATCGAGGTCATCACTATATGTATTCAAATTAATGCTCAAGCAATTTAATAATTAATTGGTTGCTATCAAAAGTAAGTTTGTTTATTTATTTTTCTTGTTTTTGGTAACCAATAATCTAACCCTAGTTCACAGAAAAAGAAGAAGCCTTTTTTAGTTTTGTTTGTGAATATTAAAGCTGTCGTCGTTAGTAGCATTTTAAAAAAACGTCAAATGTTGTGGTCCCACGAAAGAGGATTATACTAATTTTATGAGCTGTACGTGGTCACTTCTAATTTTATGTATCCAACAAAACAATCAAAAGTTAATCTGCATTTTTTAATGCGGATATGATTAAAAAAAGAAGAAGACATAAATAGGTTTTGCCTATAAAAGGGTCCTTAGTCACGGAACAACCAATCCAAACCATGGCTTTCAATATTTCTCCCCACACCAGCACCCCATCGGCTGTTTCCTCCTCTCTTTGCCCCTCGTTCCTGAAAATACATCCCACATTTGTAATTAAAAAACAAAAGCATCCCCATTTACCTACTGTTTCATGCAAAGCCACAGGTGATGATCACCAAAACCCTTCTACAAGAAGAGATGTCCTCGTTGGTCTGGGAGGTCTCTATGGTGCAACCAATCTCAGTGACCCATTCGCTTATGCTAAGCCAATCCAACCTCCGGACATCTCTGACTGTACCGCAATAAACGAGCCTGATTCTCAAAATCCTACAAACTGTTGCCCTCCAACAACCAGAAAGATCATCGACTTCAAGCTTCCTTCTCGAAATGAGCCCTTGCGCATTAGACGTCCTGCTCATTTAGTTGATAATGCCTACATTGCGAAATATAATAAAGCCGTTGAGCTAATGAAACAACTCCCTGAAGATGACCCACGTAACTTCACACAACAAGCCAATGTCCATTGTGCTTATTGTGATGGTGGTTATCACCAAGTTGGGATGCCAGACTTGAATTATCAAGTTCACTTCAGTTGGCTGTTCTTTCCCTGGCATAGATACTATCTCTACTTCTATGAGAGAATCTTGGGCAAACTGATTAATGATCCCACCTTTGCTTTACCTTTCTGGAATTGGGATTCCCCTCAAGGCATGCAAATACCAGCCTTCTTTGCCGACCCTAAATCAGCAGTCTATGACCCGCTCCGTGACAAGACTCACCAGCCACCAAAAATTATGGATCTTGATTTTCCGGGCGTAGACTTCTCCTTGCCAGACCGAGTCCAAGTGGCTAGCAATCTTACTGTGATGTATAGGCAAATGGTGATTCCCAAGTATCCGACGCTCTTTATGGGTAGACCATACCGTGCTGGAGATGAACCAGAACCTGGAGCCGGTTCGCTTGAGGACGTCCCACACACTACAATTCACATCTGGACCGGTGACGCAGACCAACCGAACCGTGAAAACATGGGAGTTTTCTATGCGGCCGCGAGAGATCCTATCTTTTTCGCTCATCATGGGAACATTGACCGATTGTGGGAAGTATGGAAGAAGTTACCTGGTGGAAAAAGAAACAATTTCTCTGACCCCGATTGGCTCGACGCAGCATTTCTTTTTTACGATGAGAACGCAAATCTTGTCCGAGTTAAAGTTAGGGATTGTCTTGACACTACAAAGTTGAGGTACAGCTTTCAAGATGTTTCTACTCCCTGGATCAATGCTAGACCAAAACGAAAACCAAACAAACCAAAGCCGACAGTGCCAGCAGATACCGCAGACCCAACAAAACCAATCGGTCTGTTAAACAAAACAGTAAGTGTTGTGGTTCAGAGGCCTAAGAAAAAGAGAAGTAAGAAAGAAAAAGACAACGAAGAAGAAGTTTTAGTAATAGAAGGGATTGAGTATCGAATAGATCAATATGTAAAGTTTAATGTGCTCATAAATGACGAGCCTGAGACACCTTCGAAGGCAGACAACGCAGAGTTTGCAGGGACCTTTGTCAATGTGCCTCATGATCGTAACAAGACAGTAAAGACAAGTTTGAGATTGGGAATTACTGAGATATTAGAGGATTTGGAAGCTGAAGATGATGATAGTGTGGTAGTGACTTTGGTGCCGATAACAAATATAGGTGAGGCTACCATTGGCACTCTCAGGATTGAGCTTCTCAAGGATTAATGGAAACTTTCCCTTCGTTTTCAAGATATGGCTCCTTTCGTCAAGTAATTCGGTTAGTAATTTTATACCTCGTAACCTGCACGGGAAAATATACCAGGTCAGAGCTCAGGATGAAATAAGGTCCAAGTTTACTTGAGTGTTTCGTTACTCACGTAAATAAAATCTGACCGTCGGAAAAAAAAAAGACGTGTAGTTTCTTCCCCAGTCTTCATGACTTTTTCTTTGTTTTCGCTTTCCCCTTAAATAAGACATGACATCTCTTTGTTTTGAATCATTTCGTTATCAGATATCATTTTAAATTTAATGTCATCTGTTGGTTAATAACTGTGATTTATTTGCATGATTTCGGTTATGAATTGATCCTTGATGCATCCAAATAATAATAATAATAATACGTTACCACTGTTCATCTCTTCAATTATTATAAATTAACAAATTAGCATAAACCCACATTATCAATGGGTTTCTAGGTTAATGATAGTTAACTCTCCAAAATAATCAACATGTCCCAAGTTCAATTCTTAACAAAGTTCAATAAACTAACTTTTTACATGACATTTAAAAAAGAAGAAGCCAAGTTTAGCTATTCATCCTTCATTCCCCTAGTTTTGTTATCACGATCCTCAAAATGAGCTCTGATCGATGCAAATATTGAAATAGTTATGAGATTTATCTTGATTCAAATAAGTTTCAAGTATCTAAATTATTTTTATCAAATCTGAATGAATCAAAATATCTTATCACATGCAACTCACAATATCACATTCTAATTTAATTGATATTTCTTGATTCTATCTTAATTTATAGTTTCATTATTAATAATCTAATTAGTCAACATCATATCCAAATTCATAAAGTCACATCTAATTCACAATACTTGTATTTATCTAACATAATAATTAATGAACTAACACGGCTCATACAAATATAACTATTGAATTTCTAGAGTGTACAATAATATTAAAACTCTAGTTCAAAATATTACAAGTAAATAAGTTATACGATTAATGTGTCAATTTCAAAACAAAAAGTTTTGGGAAAGTCAAAAGGCAATCTCACAAATTCTATAAAATTAAAATAGTAGGATGTGAGCATACAACAACTTATTAAGTGGATATTATATAAAATAAGTAAGGAAGGAAAAGAAACTAATGGATAATAATTTAGAACCTATTCAAAATGCAATACATATTTTTCAAAATCAAATGTATACTTTAAATTTCAAATCGTATCTCATATTTCAAGTCATAGAAACTCATAATCGAGATCTAATATAAAAAATATATATATCAATCAAATCATATTAAATATAAAAAATCTACACCTGGTTTCACTACTCGACATTTAATGGACCTTTTAAAAATTACAATTTTTTTTTATTGTTTATTTTGGAGATGTGAGTTAATCAACGTTTTGAGATCATTACCTAGTATTAAATGAATTATGAAACATAAAAGGACATTGGATTTAGAGATTGCGAGTAAGGAGTTGGTTATATTTTTCAAAAGACGTCAATCACCTAAAGGCATCCTTCTAGAGAATAGGTTACATGCCTAGTTTAGTCCTAAAATATATCTTCTAAAAATCTATTTTTGCCAAATTACTTCTAAGTTTATTTCTAAGTTCGTCTATTGTCTAAGCCAAATTATTTTTTTATTTTTTATTGTAGCATCATATCGAATTAATTGTTGGACCCTAACATATGGAGTCTCATTAATTCAATACCGAATCTAGTTAAAGTTTCGACTTAATCGGTATGTCAAAAAATGACCTAATTACTAAGGGTGATTGATTAATTCCTAGACTAATATTCATCTCTATTGGATATAAGACTCATTAAATTAACTTAAAGCTATCCTCTCTATTGGATATGAGACTCATTAAATTAACTTAAAGCTATCCTCTCTTTTTTTTCATTCTTTTACCTCTTTTTTTATTTATCATTTTATCCCCTTTTTAGATATTTTTTAGTATTATAAATTTGATGGAGGATTATCATGAGTTCCTAGAATCTAGGAGACTCGACACTCCACTCGTCGCATTAGGAAATTAATTTCCAAAATTAAGATATTTAGCACATAACTTATATAAAAGCATATAATCATACACTAAAAATTTTAGATTTTAATAAAATTAAATAGTAGGATAAACTAAAATTTAGATAATTAAAGTAATTAATAACTAGGTATAAAATTAAATAAATTCAAAATAAAAGGTAAATAAGCTTAAAAAATTCTAAATTTAAACCTAAGCTAAAAATAACCACATGTAACACATATAAAAATTTCAAATTAAATTGAGCAAGGCAAACATATTTAAATAAATTACAAGAAAAAATGATTTGAAAAAAAAAAAACCATTTCGTCCTAGACCATTAGGCTCTCTAGCCCAAACTTCTAGACCTAGTCCATGGCGTATTTCTCTTTTTTCCTCTCTAGATGAAGCCAAATTTGAGGCTTGTTTCTCTTTCGTTTTTTCTTTCCTATCCCAAACTATTTTTCCTTTTCTTTTCTTTTTCGGATTGAGCTCACCCTAACCCATCTCTCATTTCCTTCTCTCTTTTCTTTCCCCTTAGCTCGGGTTTTTTTTTCCTTTCTTTCTTTCCTTTATCTCTTCTTCTTTTTTCTCTCATAACACAAACAACCTAGGACTATAGCTTTAGACTAACTAAACTATGAAGTTGCAAACCTAAACCTTAGAGTTAAGTGTCGTGTGGAAGGACCCTCGGTAGCATGCTTAGATCAAGAAAAATAACTAATTGAAAGAGAAAAGTAACAATGCTTGTAGAACTTGGAAAACAAAGGAAATGGATAATAACAAGGATGATTTGGAAACCTAGATTGGTTGAGTGCTTGAAACCAAGATTACTTTTTTGGTTCAAAAAACAAACAAATGCTCTCTAATGAACCAAAAAGTCTAAAAACATAGAAATTCCTCTAAACCCAAAATTGTTCTTCTTAAACCTAGAAATGTTCTTAGACACAATAATTTCTCCCCTAAGCCCCGAATTGCTATTAACCAAGGATTTCCTTTTCTTTTTTTTTTTTAAAAAAATTGAATTCCTTCCTTAGAAACCTCTATTTAAACCAAGCAATTAGCTCTATTAACAAGAGATAATTTTGTTGTTAACATTCGATGATTTGGTAATCACTTATAGAGTAGACCGCTAATACCCAAGATACCCGAATTAAAATTAATGAGTATGGTAAAATGTCAAAAAAACATTACATATCACGTGCATCATCCCCTTTATTGAGCTTCAGCTCACCTCGTCGTTATTTCTATGATGTGACGGGAAGAGAAAAAATAATAAAGATACGAGTCGGCTCCTCCTAAGAGGCTCATGTGTAACACGAAAAGTCGAAACTGGTTTTACCGATAATTTGAGGGTATGGAATCTATACGGAATCAACTCGCTATTTGTAATATTCGTTACTCGTAATTAGTTATGCCATGTAAAATTTACTATATACGGTTTGGTTATGTAATATGCTCGTTAATTTCTTAAGTACACCATACGAGACATGATTAGGGTTTAGGTAGTGTTAGTGTGACGCGCCTTGCTTAGTCACTTCTATTTGAGTAATAGACAGTGGACCGAGGTGGGGGCATCACAAGGTGGTATCGGAGCTATGGTTTAGATAACCGAGATAGAATCTCATGTGTTACATGAGCTCGAGGACCGGTGTGCTATTCAACAAAAAAAAATTATAATTATTGTTTTCAATTTTGATTCTTTGATTAATATGTATGATCTGTTATTACGTGTTTAGATGTTGATGTATGATTATACTTGACAATATTGATAAGGGTCAATATTGATGTTCTAGATGCCATATCTATTTCGTACACCCTGTGTTGCTAGGGCATGTCAACAACATGCCACTCTAACCATTTACTAGGCGGAGCTAAACAACTAGGTTATGACCCGGATCGGGATATAGTAGCCCACGTTACCTTGGTGCATGATGTACTTCAGCAAATAATATTCGTTGATGCTTCCTTTTAACGATGCGGAGCATGGACTTTCCGAGGTCGACCTTACGTCGGACTCGAAACCGAGAGATCAATAACTATTAAATGAGGTTTAGGAAGGTTTGATAGATAGGTATTGCTATAGGAATTTGGTTCGAGCCTTCCTTTTGATATAGGTTAGGCGGACTCGTACTCGATTGATATACAACTAGGGTCTACTCGTTACCTCTTGCATGAGAGATAGTACATTGTGCCTCGGATGACATAATTAACTCGGTGGAGGGTTGAGTATTTCTTCCCCGATATTTTCGATATGTAGGTTATTAAGGACCCTATCACATGACGCAGATGTCTTTTGTGTTTTCTAGGATGTAAATAAGAGTGCTTCTAATTGTAAATATAATACAAAAACCTTTGAAAGGTAAATATGTGTACGAAACACTTACTATGTATAAAGATGTATAATTTTATACGAACGTGAATGATTTGTATTAAATGTTAAAATCCATTCCAAAACTAATTTGAACTTTATGTGTATGTAAAGATAAATCATGCCACCAAGAAAGAACCCGTACGAGTAGGAGGTGAAAAGACCTCCAATGATAATAACTTGAACCAATGAGAAACATTGAATCAAATGATGGAAATCATACAACAACAACAACAAACACTACAGACAGCAATAACAAGTCCACGCCGAACATATGAGGTAGTTTTTAGCTACACAATAATCGCTTCCACCCTAACATAGGAATGATACGATAGAAAGATTTCGTAAAATGAATCCTCAATAATTTGCTAGAGGAGTGAACCCAATGATAGCTAAGGAGTAGATTAAGTCCTTAGAGATAATATTCGAGTACTTATAGTTTACCAACCATGAGCGAGTATCATGTGTCATTTTTATGCTAACTAAGGATGCTCGCACGTGGTGAAAAGCGTTCTACCGACGAGTAGACATTCCTACCTTAACTTCGAAGGATTTAAAGAGGTCTTCTATAATAAGTAATTCATCACGGATGTGA